ACAATTGATAAAGCCATGCGGAACCATATCGTATCGCTGAAGTACCAGCATGGGCACAAATTTGCAGGCCTTCTCCAGAGATGGTTTCTCCATTCTTTATAATTCTTTTGCACTTTCTACTTCTATTTTTTTACTTCTTTGCGTAGATTAGCAGAACTCCATAGAGTATACGAACCACTTCCCTAGAAGTTTTGTAAATGTATCTTCCCGTATAGATGAATAAATATCAAATTTCATCAAAAAAAGATGTGTTTACAAATTAAAAAAAAAAATCAATTAAACCTAGATAGTAATGCTTAAAGAAGAGAAATAACAGAAACCGTATCAACATTTATCCAAACTGTGCATGATCTATGCTCCACGATCATTTTTCTTTGTCCACGATCTTATTCTTTTCATAATCATATATCTCTCAGATTTGATTCATAAATAGTAGAAACACTCCAAACCAATCAATAACATTCGATTTCAAAACCTAATTCAAAACTGGAGCCATATTGAAAATGTCACGAACCAGTGCAGAGTTCAATTTCTGAGTAAATGGATCTATCCTACTCTGTACAGTTCTGCCGAGAACCATATTGCTTCCTTGGAATCGGTTTAAAGCCAAGAGAGTAGAGAAAGATGTTATATAATGGCTTTGAATATTATGAATTGCCAGAGATTCATCTGAGTAAAGAGACTTCATGGTAAGACCCGCCACAAAGAGAGGATGAAGAGATCAAAAGCAGATGCAGATGTGGTGTAAATCACATGAAGGTCATTTTTATGGTAAAAAATTCATGAAGGCATTTGGATAAAAGGTAAAAACTCTTCCATTAATTCACCGTCTGAAGGTTCAGACTGTTAACGTGTATTCCTACTGTAAAATATAGCATGGAATAGATTGAAAACACCCTTGTAAATATGATAACGAATACTTTGACATTTCCCCCTATAATTTCAATGTTTCTGATTTTTGGTTAACAATAATGGTTTACGTTTGCTTCTAGGGACAAGACAAACATGAAGTGTTGAAGATAACAAAATAGGTGCTGCCATGGGAACCATGATTAATTTCTGAAACAAAAGTAACAGAGGAATATGTATGTCTTAATTGTTTCAATTTCTTTGTAAATTTGTTCATAGTTGCTACTATCCACTTCCTTTTTTTTTGTTTCAAGTATTTACAGTATATCTAAAATCATTCCTTAACTTCACTGCATTCTCAAGTATGTGTTCAGACAATCAATTCAAAATGTTTTTTAATCTCAAAAGGTATTTTAATTTACTGTTCTTTTTTTCATGTACATATAATTTCTTAACCAGGCTTTCACTTAATCACGTAACTGAGTTTGCATGGTATAGTAGAATAAAGTAGCAAAGGTATGATCAACTTTAGTATTTTAAGATAAGTTTTATATTTTTACATATGCATTTTAATTATTTTTGAAAAGTATGGCAAACATGTATCCATTTTTGATAAAAATAATAATTTATTCTGATTTAAAACTATATCTTAGTCAAAAAGGTTTAGAAACAGTCCATTGACCCGTGCATTAGCATGGGAGGAATACTAGTAATTATTATAAATTGTCTTATAATTCATTAATTGTATCACTTATATTTTTAGAATATGTTCTTTATATACGCACAAATGTGTTTTATTTATTTTTTATGGATCAAAATTATAGTATAATGTATAATAAATTATTTTATATACTATTTAAAATATCTTTCTATAAACTTTATAATATTCCACATTTGTAATATTGAATTTAAATTAGAATGCTATTTATAGGAAAATATATAAAATAATAAAATGTAGGATATTAGCCACAATTTTTTATTTTAAATTTAGAATATTTTGTTTATTATGATTGTGTTGAAACCTATTAAATAAATATAGTGTAGGTTTTCTTTATTGTTGCCTAACTCTTTAATAGTTATAATTATTTTAAGAAATTATGTAATAATTATAAACTACAAGATTATTTAAAGTTAGGATTATTTAATATTTCAGTGATATTGATTTCTAAAAGTTGTAAGTTTTTGTAGAATTTTTTTATATGTACTCCTCTTTAATAAGATAGTTGCATAACGTCCAAAAAGAAACTGTTTCATTCTAAACGAATCTCATTTAACATTACACCAAATACAACAACATATGTGACAAAAACACGTTAATAGACAACAAAATGATTCACAACAAAAAAATAGATACATGAAAATCAAGATCTGGGAACATATATTGTAAATCAATAAAATAACTACGGCGTATATTACATTCATATGAAACATAACATTCAACTTCAAACGTACAATAAATCAAACTTAGCCCAAATAAATAAATATGTTTTCGTGTCCTATCACTCATTTATCAATCACCCTAAATCACCGACAATTTAAATTCACATGCAATTTGCTCATACATTAAGGAAAATAAAAACAATATTTATCACTAACCACTAAAGGAACAAACTACCATAACTCAATCTATGTTTGCTAGAAATTCGTATCAACCATCAACATGTAACATCTCCCAACAACAACATTCAAATCAGTTAAAAGAACCTACACATGATATAATAATTTATCTATAGATATTGGTGATTTCATAGTTACAAATAATTTTAAACTCATTAAAAAATTAAACATAAGAACCCAGAGCGTAGCGCCGGAATACCACTAGTTTAAATATTATAAAGAAGGTAAACAAAAACTGAGTATGACTTTGTCGCATATACTATATATGAAACGTCAATAGTGTTAACATGAGAATTTTACCATCAGAAACGCAATAATATACTATACTATATAATATACTATATTATAATATAAAATAACATCCCCTATATATTAATCATGGAACATTGGTTGAATAACAACCTTATGAAACATGCTTACGTGTCAAGCTGAGAGAGCTTCTCATCCATTTTTTTTAATTTGACCAACCTAATTAGGAATGCAACACTAAAACTTTATTATATGTGAACCAAAATCGAGTATGATAATAAATTACCTTTTAAAGCTTTAATTAGATGTTTGATAATTTAATGTATTAAAAACGGTTTAATTGCATACACAATGTATATATATTATTGTATGATGTATAATTATTCTACTAGGTAGAGACCCGTGCCTTGCACGGGGTGAAACTATACGATAAAATAATATAATGCAAAACACCCTGTTGTCCGTAATTTGCAGAATACAACAAAACAGTCCGTAATTTGTAACATTTGTGGTAAGATATGTTTAGCTTGTTTAACTATTTGATGTAATATCATATTAGAATAGTTTCAATTGCATTAACCTTTCCAGAAACGACTTTTACTGTGGATACAACATTAGCCTTTCCAGCTAATATATATCGATGTACTGTCTTTCTTTCTCAAAATGTGTATTATGTATTTATAATGGTTGTCTTTTTGACCACATCAACAGTAGCCCAGTTGGAATGGGTCTTTTTATTCCTCTAAAATATTTCCACCACTACGAAAAGCTGGTCTCCATTCATTAAGGAAAAAAAATCAGATTATGGGCTATTAAACTATATTGTGTAACCAAATTTATAAACGTTATTCCAGTTTGTCTTGTCTTCGTAAAATTAATGAAGCTTATAATGGTTTTATATAATATGTGACTGAACAAATTTAAAGACAAAGATAACAGTTTTGTTTGCTAATTTTCAATAATCATCTCACTCTGCGTAAGGCGCATATCTTAACCTAATGTAATACTAAAGATGATACGGGTGTCAATTTAATAATTAATCACACTATGGCAAACAAATTCAAAGAATATATATATATATATATATATATATATATATATATATATGTATATAATTAAAAATATAACGTTATATTGTTATAATTTCAAAATCGGATACTTTCGATCAGTATTGCGTTTAATAATGTCAAACTAAATATTTGGAGATGATTACAATACTCTGATCCAGTGGTTAATAAATTTTTGGAAAAGCATAAAGCATTTTTTTCTCTGGGCTGTTCTTAAATTTTAATGGTTGCAAAATTTAAATGGGCTGGACAAATATCTTACCCTATAGTAAAAAAAAAGAGTGATAGCCTATTGAAGAATAAAAAAATAGATCTAATCGGTAACGCCACCCTTTCTTCGATGATATCCTCAAAAAGGGAATAGGTTCACTCGATCTAATTATTTTGGGTGATCAACATCTTGGCTATTGCTTACGCAGATGATTCTAGAATCAAATTAAGATCTCTAATCTTCAATTTCTCTTCCTTTCTCTTTATTGTTTACTGTAATATCTACACCGACCATCTGTTTTTTCTGTCAAACAGTTGAACAGAATAATGTTTCCGACAGCGATCGTCCAGGTCTAATTCGTTCGATGATGTTTGATTCCATAAGCCTAAGTCTTCATTCCTTCATGAACATCAAAGGTATGGAGTGTTTGTACTTTTTCAATTAGTTACAGTAATTTACGATTTCTACTTGGTAAACAATGATTGATAAAAAAGATGAGACCTCAAGTATCCTCATTATTATAGTTCGAAAATAAAATAAAAAGTAACATGACCAAAACACATTAGAGCTCAGAACCAAAACCCAAAATTAAAAACCATTGTAAAAAACAAAAAAAAATTGTTTTAAATAAAGATAAGCCAATACTCTGAAAAGACTTCCATTGCCCTTTCCGCCACTTTAGAGCATAAGATACTTCTAATTTTCTTCAATGTCTTCAATAACAGCATTTGGGATCCTGAAGACAACAATTGAACATAACAGATAAATTAGAAAGAAAAATGGTTTACATAGCGAAATCACACTTTAGAGTTAGCGTAACACATAGAATGATTAAGTTGTACCTCATTCTGAATGCTTGAATCTCAGGAATTTCAGGTTCAAACAGCATTTTTTATAAGCCTTCGTGGTTAATCACGTGATTTAAGTGTCCTGAGAATGAAAAACATAAAATTAACTAAAGTACACAATACATATGATAAATGATTTGAAAAGAGTTTGCAAGATACCTTCTCTCCATTCAATGCGCCAAAACTTCAAAACACATAATATAACAGTAGCAACAGTAGAGTTCCCGTAATGATATAGCTGCAAGGCCATATTTCCACAGGCAACACACTTAACTCGAACAAACCTATCATTAGTTTCTATTAATTAGATTGCAAACTTATTTTACTGTATATGTAGCAAATAAAAAATCATATCAATTATATAAGTCTAAATTACTAACTCGATGTTGATCAAAGAGAATTCCATTCTATGGTTTAGGCCACCAGGAATCCCATCAACCATTTCTTCTTGGTATATCTCCAAATCACCTACACCGACCAAAGCTCCATACAGATCTAAAAAATGGTTGAACAAACATAAGAAATTAATTAACTAAATTCCTATATACTTATCAAATAATGTACATCCATTAATGTTTATAGGTTTATGAAATATACATACCTATAGAGTACTTAGGATGGGCAAGACCACAATTGACACTAAGAAAATTTGCAAAACAATAATAGTTGCTATGGGGAAGGGTTGAATTTTCGTAACAGCGGAAGAATTTGACATTTCAATGTGGTATCGGTTCTTGGTAAGCCTTATCAAACTTGAAGCATGGACCACTCTGAAATTCTGAATTTCAAACCAATCAACTTCATCAATCGTGATTAACTTGGATGATTCCAACTCTTCCAATAAAGTGGCTTCTATTGTAGATCCCTGTTTTAAAAAAACATGACAAATTACAATTTAGTATCAAAACAAAAATAATACATTAAATACTGTAACTTAATAAAACAATGAATGCATTATAATACTGGTACACCATTTCTTACTTTCTCATCACCTAAAACCATGGCTGATTTTTTAAGCATTGTACCAGTTACTGTACACCACTTGGTTAGCACGGTAACACGGACTGCAAACTTATTTGTGACGCATGCAAATCACCCAAACACGAATGAACAGCCATCGAAGATAAAGAATATAGCTGTATAAAGATTTTTTTTTATTGTATAATGTTCTAGGTTGCTGAGTCTTTCTTATATATACAACTCTTAATGAAGGCATTAATGTCAAAGCAAATTTGATGATCAATCAGATTTCTTCTCCCGCAATCCAGTCTATCAAAACCAAGAAAGTGTATTTTTTTAAATATTTCATGGCCATTTTTCCCTCTTAAGATTAGCAATCACCGTGATGTCCTATATATAACTTTAATGTCAATTTCCAAGGATTTCTATATTCCAGAGCGTTGTGATTGACTTACTTATTTCAGTTTATATATATCAATTTCAGCTCTTGCACATTAATATGGCTTTATTTTTTTGGAAACAATAATAATATTTTAATTTCTGCTGAGATTAGTTTCCAAAACTAATCATGATATTGGTTGCTGATTTACAGTTGTTATTCACTTTTGAGATGTTACAGTAAATTCTTACTGATTTTCGTTTGACTTGGACAGGCTTTTTTTATAATTCACAAAGGTCTAACAAAAAGCTTGGAATTATAAAGACTCCACAAGAAGAGGATAATAAATTTCAGAAAGACTCGACATACAAACATGTAAGGTGATTAATCTATTATGTACTTTAAATGAAAGCTTGGATACAACTTAGCTATTCTCCAAATAAGTATATAGGCGTTACAATATGAATATGTTTATGATGACAACCAACTAATAATAATAATAATAATAGTAGTCGTAATATTTGTATAAGAACAAAAATCTCAACATTATGATTCTAGGAAATACATAGGTCTTCTAGCTCAACTTAGAAATGTAAATAATATAAGTATATAAGACTTAATATGATCTACTAATAATATTTCCTTCTTCTGTTTTTGTACAATTAAATGTCTTTAATGTCGGATATGTAAATTTATTTTGTCTGGTACATTAATCCCCTTATCCAATTACATGTGTTTGCTGAATCAAAACGACCATAGAGCTGATAGGCAAATACTGGAAATTTGCATAAGTCCAACGAATTTCAATTGGTTCCAGAAAAAGTGAGGTCAGATATAAAAACTCTCATCAACCATTTCATGAATATCTGGAAACATAACAGAAGTAGAACTGGTTTTAGAACTAAAAACTGAGAATGCTGAGGTAGGTAGATAAAGAGAATTGATGCTTGATGATCATACTCGCCATCTCTACTTGCAATCTGGATAGTATTCTGCATATTATGGAGTGGTAAATAGTATAAAAGCACAAATAAAGATTCAACTTATGTGCGTAGAATAGCCTAGAAGAGTAAAAATAGTTTGTGCAATCCATGGCTTCTCTAAGACAGGTTTCTTTGTGAATTGAGTGTATTAAATCATACCTTCTCATCATCGGCTTCGTCTTGATTAAAGCTACATTACCAAACTGAAGACATAATAAAAGGGAATTCAATTTTAGTTGTTTTAAAGTGAATTTCATAAAATACAAAAAATAAACTTCATACCTTATACAAAATGGCGAGTAAGCTCAACACACATCAACCTATAATTCATTCCGATTTTCAAACAGATTCTGGAAAACCTCCTTGAACACTACGTTCATTATTGAAGGTTGGGATTTTCCATCTTTGTCAGTAATTAGAATCTTCAAACCCTTCCTCGACTTTACTCTAGACACAGCCACATACAATTGTCCATTGGAAAAAATAGGTCTTGGTAGATACAGCCCAACATTAGATAGTGTTTGCCCCTGGCTCTTATTGATGGTCATAGAAAATGCTAATTTGATAGGAAATTGCCTGCGCCTCATTTTGAAAGGGAGCTTTGAGTCAGTGGGGGTAATCAGAATGCGGTGAAAAAACACCTTCTCACCAACTCGAGTTCCAGTAATTACTCTGGCTCCAATTAGATGATCCGCCAACTGAGTAATCTGTAGCCTTGTACCATTACATAAACCTTCCGTCGGATCCAGATTTCTTAATATCATAACCGGTGTACCAATCCTAAGCCTTAGCGAATGATTAGGTAAACCCGAAGTTTTGATACTATTCAGAAACTCTGGAGAGAAAACAATGTCATCTTTGGAGTTCTTATCAGTTGGGTCAATACTATCTGAGCTCAAATAAATCTTCTCTTCACCTAATATATAAAATCAAGTATACCACGTTATCATAGATGAACACATATTTCGAAAATAAAAATTCTACCACTGAAAAATAAAGCGTTCCAATAAAAATAACATATAAGTACCTCTTAGATGATCAATCATATAGTTGTTAATAACGTCAACATCTTCGTTGGTAGGACACAATATAGCTCTTTCCTGGAAGAATAAAGGATCCTCAGAATCTTTGAAAGTGTTCCCATAAACTTCTGATACGATGGCCTCAATAGGATCTTTGCAATTTGATATCAGCATATCTTTGGGAATATCGATCATTGTTTCTCCACTGTTAGGCTCATTAATCTTTCCATCACCAACATCCAAAATCCACTTTGAAAATTCTTTAATCTCCTCAGCTTGTCGACAATCTGTCTCTGAATAGAGCCTCATGTTCTTTGTTAGCTCTAACACTTTGCAATACTTCCATAAATATGAGGAGTTGATTGAATCCATAACAATATCAGCTCTGTTTCCTTGTGGAATGACAGGTAGAATTTGTCGAAAATCGCCACCAAACACAACAATTTTGCCACCAAATGGTCTTTCATCAGTAGTCTTCATAATGTCACATAAAGTACGATCAAGAGCTTCAAAGCAATGCTTGCTCATCATAGGTGCCTCGTCCCAAATAATAAGAGAAGCCCTCGCTACAACTTCTGCTTGATGGCTCCCAGGCTCTGTATTGCAAGTAGATAACTCGTCTGGATTAATAGGAATACCAAACCGGGAATGAGCAGTCCTCCCACCTGGTAACAATAATGAGACAATACCGCTAGATGCAACATTTAGAACCACATCACCCTTTGATCGAATTGCAGCAGAAATAATATTCCATAAAAATGTTTTGCCCGTTCCTCCAAACCCGTAGACAAAAAATACTCCACCTTTACCACTCTGTACAGATCCTAAAATCTCATCATAAACAGACATTTGCTCATCTGTCAACTGTCTTATCCACTTGTCGTGATTAGCTTGTAATTCTTTTCTTGGGTAGTTGAGCTCTTCTTGCAAAAGCATGTTATCTTCTACTGAATCAACAACAAATACTGGTTGTGGCATAACCTTCCATTTATCTAGTGAGCTATTCTTTGAACGCAGAATCTTTTCAATTAATACTAAGGTTGCATTCAGAATTTGTTCTTCACTCAGTATAAGACCTGAGATACAAAAATAAATTTAAGATATTAATGTTGTTATCGGCCAGCTAAGTGGGGTTTAGAAAAGCTAACCAGGATTTTGACGCTTTTTGCGCTCAGTAAATAGGATGTCTTCTGATAATTAATCCTTTGTAGCATCCCACACCGATCTTGGCGTTGATAGACAACCCGATAACAACATCTTTACAAATAAGTTGCGCACATATCCGCTGGAAGCCCAAAAACTACATTCTTTTAGAGCTTCAATATAATCCTTATCGTCATCCAACAAACCCATGGCGTAACATGCATCCTCAAAGCTTGGTAGAAGGACCCCTTTAACTGTCTTGATATCATTATAGCACCTTGGACCCTTTATTTTGTTAAGCAAGACCCTGAGAAAATATAGTTCCCCAGAAATTGAAGAAACAGGAGCCAACCTGCAATTGGAAAACCTTTCTTCCTTGGCTTCCAAACCTTTTCCTTACTATCACATACAAACTTTGTTGGCAGTTCTGCATATGTCAATGCTCTAGCTTCAGGGTACATTTCACAACAGTCAAACCAAGCCAAAAACATGGTCTTTGAAAGATGCACACGAGCCAATACACTTTCAACAGTATCACCTTCTTTGTAAACTACTGGTTGTTCTCCTTCAAGATGAAATGTAAGGTACTCAACTGGTGTAGAACGGTATTGTGTTGAAAAGCCTAGAATTCTCCATGTTGATTCGCAAGCTGATAGGTACCTGTTTAAGAAATAAAATAAACGAACATATGAGCCACAAAATTATGGTACAAAAACTATTAATAGAGTAGTCACATAAATCAGATTCAACATACCTTGCCTCGAAGTACTTCTTAATTTCATCAACAGTTGGTTCCACTCCCTCTGCATCTGCCATATCGCCTTCTCCGGTTGTTGAGTGTCCTTCTGTTGCAGCTGGAATATTAGTAGACGTGTCTTCTACAGTAGCCTCAGCGTTCTTCTTTCCAGTAATGGTCCCTGTGATTCGGTCTTGACCCTTGTTAATGTACTTGAATAAATACTTAATAGATCTTGACTGGTTACACCATTCCACATTAATATGTGCATTGTACCCAAGTAGCAGTTCTTTGTTGTAGGGAACCAAAAAACGATTATCACATTGAATTTTTTTCTTCTCAACATACGACCCATTATCTCATCTCCTATAAACAGGGTAGCCTTGAGAATCCACAGTGGTCTTTCCTACATGTTTCCTAGGAAAAAAATTGGTACACTTCCCATCTTGCATACACGGAGAATCTCTATTAACCTTTCCACATGGACCATGAATCATCATGTCCTTGACAACGTCATATAATCTTGGTTCTTTAGCTTTATCGGGAATTTCAGCAGATATAATCCGATCAATATCTTCAGCGTTTGGAAGTTTGTGCTTGGAATCCATGAACAATAAAATATGAGCATGTGGGAGTCCTCTCTTTTGAAACTCAATAGTATAAATTGCTACATACACAAAAAAAACAAAGCAGCAACGAATCAGAGTCCTTAAAATTAACACATTATTATTAGAATATGCACGCCTTAAAACTACAAATATTAAACTTCAATTAGTTTTAAAAATAAAATTCCCTAAATTTAGAGGGATGAAAGCTTTCACGTACCAGACACTGTCTTTCCAAGCAAATGTCTCTTTGTCAGATCATCCATCAAGCTGTCCAGCTTAATTTTAAAAAGTCTACAACACAAATCTGGTCTGTCCTCAGATTTAAGGTTGTACTTCTCCAAATACCTCGTCAGCTCAGACCATTTAGGATTACATGTGAAGGTTATAAGCAGATCTGGAAACCCAAAATATTTGCATATTGACATTGCATCCAAGTACATTTTACGCATGTACCTTGTACCACCCGTGAAAGATGAAGGAATGATGATACGATTCCCTTCAATGGCTACAGTAGAGTTGCCATTATTTGCAGCAGCCACAAACTTGCTAAAATTCAACGTTCTTAAGTTTGACTGATTTTTTCGTATATACCTAAGACGATGGCTTTCAATCATAGTCTAAGCATCCACCAGAAACTGCTGGAGTAGACGGCGTGAAAGTAAAAGAACCTGAGAACCAACTTCACGAACCATAATCCGATAAGCAAAAAATTCTCTCATACTAATATTTGGTTTTTTCTTTCTGTTGAGTCCCGTGAAACCATTCTTGATACCTAACCGAAAGCCATCTTCTCCATAAGGAAATATGAGTGGATATTGAAGTGGAAGATAGCAAGGATGCAACTCACTGATCCTTTTTAGCTTTCCAGAAATCTTTTCAAGAATAATATCACGTTTATCCATACCTTCATGAAAATCACCAACCACTAATGCAGCAACTTCAGAAGAAGTAGGTAGATTGTATACACGACCATCTTCAACTCGAGTGTGGATAAGAACCATAGACAACTGTTCACATTCTGCTTCATCATTAAATCTATCTCTAGCACTCCTGAACGTCTTCACATGAACATTAGAGTCCCTTAGCATGTTCATCAGCATCTCCACCAAATCTTCTCTAATATTGCTTTTCTCAGAACTCCCATTGGTCATAAATCAATAACAATCATTAAAAGCTGAGAAGGAAATTGATGTAGCCATTGATACTTAGACTGAAAAAAATATTATTCAAATAATGAAACCCACCTCAAAGCAGAAATTCGATTCCGAACTTCGTTTTCTGTATCATGAATATATAACTGGGAGAACTTAGCAAATTCAGTGGGTTTAGGCTTCATACTACCAATTAAGTTGAAATTCTCCCCATGAAGATTAAAAATCTTGGGACCCTTTCCGATATTGACTGAATTATCAATCATACCTCCAAGTGATGTAAAAGAAAACATCATATTTAGAGGTCTAATATTTTGTTGGTAATGCCTACTGATAGCATCATCCTTTGTTAGCAGACTCTACAAAAATTCTGGTGGTTCTTTTAGAATAGGAAGCTTGATTTTTCCTTGCATACAACACATGGTAAATACTGGAATACTTGCATGCCTGCTCCTACCAACCCGCTCATTATACCAGAAAAGAGCTCCGCATTTTGGACATTTATAAGTTAGATCACCATCATCTTTATAATCTACAAAAAAAATTCATAAATACCATAAAGCTCTGCAAAACCAGGCGCAGGTAAAAAATATATGTGTATCTTCTTCATTTGCATCACGAAATAGTATATTTTAAAACAGTATACGTACCGGTCTCTCCTTTATTGTTACTTGAGGCGGTAGGTATAGGGTTTAGTGAGTTCAAAGCCATTTTGTCCTTCGCACGACCTAACATTGTTGTGGTTCGAAGTGATTATTTATTTTAAAAAACCAAAATTAGTATACATCTACCTTTATCTTGAGTATAAGTACTGCAGACTGTAGGTGGACTTGTTTTTTTGCCGGAATTTGGTTCTTCAAACGACTTAACATGTCGGCAAAAGCTTTTTCTGCTTTTGAGACCAATTCAAATTTTTTCTGTGCATCACGTTTAACAACGTCTGAGTTGATGTCATCTGCTGTATCGGAATCAGAAAGAACCTCTCCACCTTCATTGCTCGAACAATCCCATAAATCATCACAGCTATCTGCTACCAAAAAATGAAGCAATACCACAAATTCCAATTAGTTATAGTCTACTCTCTAGATCTATTTGGTGAATAAAAAATAGCAAGATCACGGTTCATAGTGTAGTAGATTTTCTAAGAGTTGACCTGATGAATCAGAGTCCACATTTATTGCTGTAGATGTAAGCACTGAATGGCTGATATTAGTAGCTCTTGCGAAGATTGGACCAGTATTTCTTTCTTTGACAGTAGACTGATATGTGACTTGAGAATCACAGTAGGTTGCTTGAGATCTGGTATATTCCGAGTCTATGTCTCTATTAGAATTACTAACAGTGTAATTTGGCAATTGCATGTCCCCCTTATTCATTACACTGGATGAACTTCGCACTCAGTTTCCTCCCATCGTCTCCTCTTGTTTTTGACAGAGGACGATTGTTCTATATTAAATCAAAGTATATAAGATACAAATTCATTAGTGGTCCTCTCAAAGAATATGTCAAATGAATATGGAAGCTCATTCGATCAAACAATTTGATTACCCTCAAGATATATGTTTGATGAACCTTGATCAATGTGTGAGAAGATTGATCCAGATTGTGTGGCTCCTACAGACTGGTCGTTGACAACCTCTGATTGAGTCACCACAGGGATTCCTAAGTCTGTCTTCTCACACCGTCTCGTCTTGTTTTTGACAGAGCACGATTTCTCTATATTGAATCAAAGTATATAAGACAGTGTCTGGTCCTAGCAATAACTAATCTACGTCTTATATGGATGCTCAGACCAATTAAGTTTGTATATTACCCTAAAACTTCACAATATAAGAAAGGTCTAATCCTTTTCACTGAATGATTTGTTGTACCTCGATCACTTTGTCTGGTTGATTTTGGTTGTGAGGCTACTACAGACTGAACGTTCACAACTTCTGATTGAGTCAACACCGGGATTCCCAACTCAGTCTTGTTACGTTTCTGAAGCAATTTGAGACGCCTTTCTGTTCTTGCATCTCTTGTTATATTATTGCTCGAATTTGTTATGTCACGTAAAGCATCAGTCGTAGCATCTCCACTTATGTTTATATCTTCACGCATAGAGAATTGCAAACACAATCAGTTAAAGCTCATCATAGCTAGTGCCAAATATATATGTAGTAACAGACTACCTTGCTTTCTTCTCTTCGAATGCGTAATATCATCTCCATTTTCAGCCCTTTTTTTCTTAGTAGTTTTGTTCATAGTGAGTAACTTATGTCTGTTCTTCCTCAATGGAAGTAAGTTTCAGTCATATTTGTGTTTCAGCCATTGTTTAGGGAAGCAATATTCTCGCCTACACAAATTTAATTAACGTATATGTTTTTATAGAAGCCAACTAATGTGATTAGGATATTATTATGGAAAGTCATATAAATTAGTAGATATTCAAAGAAACTCTTCATCTTAGTAAATCATTGGCAACCATGAATTGTGTAAAATTATATTTTCAAGGAAATGCTGATTATTATTGTTAATACATAATAATAATAATCATATTATTTTCCATATATACATGTGTGATTTTAATCTTGAATACGTGAAAGATTAAAATTTTATCCCCTTTATATGTTTGCAATTCTTTTAGCAAGTATGTTCTTATACTGTTTTTATAACACATTATGTTCATTCACTTATCATATATACATGTGTGTTTTTAATCTACTCATTTTTAATTGAGACTTGTTAATCGCAGGCAGTTAAATTAAGTCAGACATATTGAATAGTAGTCTACAAAAATCTTGCAATACTAAGTCTACACTTTCTTGACTATTTTTCAGACAGATACGTCAAAATGGTCAAGAAACCAACATATAAAATGCAAAACAGGACAGGGCCTTACGGCGTGGAAAGGAAGTTCTAGCAATGCTTAAGGTAAATATTTCAACTTTATACATCTCGGTTAGTCAATGTTTATTTTTGAAGTACATTGCTTTAGGATTTAGGATGCCAATAAATAGTATCATAAGACAAATAAATAATGTAGAGGCTTTATATTACCATTAAAATTTCAAAAGGCAAAACATAATTGNAGGGCCTTACGGCGTGGAAAGGAAGTTCTAGCAATGCTTAAGGTAAATATTTCAACTTTATACATCTCGGTTAGTCAATGTTTATTTTTGAAGTACATTGCTTTAGGATTTAGGATGCCAATAAATAGTATCATAAGACAAATAAATAATGTAGAGGCTTTATATTACCATTAAAATTTCAAAAGGCAAAACATAATTGAAAGAAAATCATCCAGAAAATATTAAAAACGAAAAATGGAAATAAATTGAAAGAACATAAAGCAATAATAGTTTAAGAAGTGAAGCATCTACTCATCAACTCGACCACCCAACCTCTCTCAGCCACTTTTTTCATTCTTCTCCTTCTTGACTTTGATAGTACACCCAGATCTCGTAACAGAATTCTGATCAAAAGCATCCCCCAAGTTAATGATTGGTGTGCTTGACCTCTTGGCAGGTGTCAGATCGCCAGTCTTGGATGACTGAAATGATCCACCATGTAAAATGAGGGACCCCTTCATAAAGACATAATAACTATAAGCTAAAATGATCCAATATGTTACTATATATATACACAGAAAATAGATAAAGTTAACATAATACAACCTCAGGTGCATCAGACATTGCTGAATATGTCCCTCCAAAAGTGTTATCACTTGCCTAAGATATAACCATATAATAAATTAGACTAAAAAAACTGTAAGATAATACGGTTTGTATTTAAAAACACAAAAAACACAAACCGTTGGTGATCCAATGGAATCGAACTCGTTAATCATTCCTATGTTTGTCATGATCTTCAGAACTTTGAAAGTCGGATGCTTATATAAATAATTCTCCCTTTCAATACCAATCTTGAAAAGAAATGTTTTTCCANAATAAATTAGACTAAAAAAACTGTAAGATAATACGGTTTGTATTTAAAAACACAAAAAACACAAACCGTTGGTGATCCAATGGAATCGAACTCGTTAATCATTCCTATGTTTGTCATGATCTTCAGAACTTTGAAAGTCGGATGCTTATATAAATAATTCTCCCTTTCAATACCAATCTTGAAAAGAAATGTTTTTCCACTAAATCTTTAAGAAGATGTGGTATCACGTCATGATCCTGGATCTTTTCCACAAATGCAATTCAGATAAGTTGATATACAATAAGATTTGCACACACTTAATAAAATTATCAAAAGAATTATATAATCATACCAAAGAGAATGCAAAGATGTCATTTGGCGAGCCGGAGCAGCCACAGCGAAGTCAAGAGGTCGCTGCAAGCAACATCAGCTGGAGCGGGGTCACGGGGCGGAGTCAGGGGGTCGCTCCAGACCACAGTGGAGGCTCGGCAGCGGATGTAAGGGGGCCGCTCGCGTTTGAGAGACGGGACGAGAGAAGAGCGCCGCAGCGGGGTCTTGGCAGCGGGGTCGGGAGGCAGCTCCACGCCCACAGCGGACCCCCGGGGCGGAGTCAGGGGGTGGCTCGCGTTCAAGATAATAGAAAAGCAGCCACAGCGGGGTCTTGGCAGCTGGGTTGTGACCCCGCTGTGCGTCTTTTATGTGGCGAAAATAAGACTTTGAGGACCTTTTTGCAATTTTCTTCTTTTATGTTTTGAGTTTCAGAAACCTAATTAAAACTACGTTGTAAGCCTCCAGAGGCAGATAATCTTTTGTTCTTGAAGAAAATTTCTTTTGGATTGAGATTTCATTGTTTTCATCTTGTGTTCTTGTTGATTTCTTGTCTATATCTCTACATGATTAATCTGAAATCCAATATGGGTTTAAGAGGAATCATGGAGATTAGTGAGTAATCACCTTTTGAATTCATGGGTTAGGGAGATTAAGGGTGATTAGGTTAGATTTAAGATGTTTTAGTGTTAGATTTCTCTTGTTCCTTGCTTATTAGAGTAGCCATAATGCCTCTTTTGAATTGATCACTCAAAAGTTGATCTCTAGACATTTCCCACTCACAAAGTGTTCGATGAAATGTCTGAGTCAACTCTCTTAAGCTTTTAACAGTCTTTACCAGGGACACTTGTTGTTAAAGATGTTAAGATGGCTAATAGATCTATTCCTAATGATTACTTTCATAATATTCAACAAAAGACATTTGATGCTTGAGTTATGGTAGTAAATGAACATTCATCTAGACATAGAGCTTGTTTAGAATCGTATCTAGGCCTAAGGTAGACAGTTTAATTGATCGCTTGCCATCTTTAGATCGAAACCTGATCACAAAAGGTCAAATTCCCTATACCCATGAGTTCTCCTTAAACTTCTTTGTCAAAGTTATATCTTTTATTGCATTCAAGTTTTAGTTAACCTTAAAAACCAATCAATCACATGATCGCACTTAGATTAAGCTAGTACTTGTATTCTCGGTGCTTTTAAATCCCTCAGAACTGGTTCGACAATCATCTATACTACAACATTTGCCTTAGGAGCCTCAAAAACTCCAAACATCACTCATTCTTAATCGGACCAGTCAGCTCAATACATGGTTTGTGTAGGAGTTGCAGTGCAAGATTATCAAACAACATGAATTTGGTGTTATTTGTACTATCAAGTACAACCAAATGCAACTTGTACCTAAATATAATTTAAGAACCAACCAAACAGAAATAAAAACCACAATAGTTACTTGACGAAACCAACAATAAGTTGGCTTCCATATATTTTAACAACCATTCAAATATAAAAACACACAACATTAAAACTAACCTTGGCAAAAGTTGAGGATTGTTATTGTTACACTTGACACAATAGTAATTGTGACCACTAACATTGAAATCGTCCCCATCTTCATTGTCATTAGGCACTGTCAACACCTTTTTTGAACACACCTTACAACTTAAGTAGTACCAACCCATGTCAGAGTCAATGGCTGCAATTGAAGCCATAACAATAAACTTTTCCACCTGGAATAAACATTATATATATATATTCTTCCATTAACAATCACTCTCAACAATTGAAGTAGTCTATTGAATTATGAAATGAGTTGCAAGATACCTGTTTCGAGGCCAAAACCTGCGAAATGGTTTTCCTAGGGGTGTTGCGAAATAATTCATCCCTTTCCGTAACACCAGGAACAACTGAATTTGACTTAGAATTGACAATGTCTAAGGCCAAATCATCCTTTGGTAACCTGATAAATATAATCGATAACATTAATATATGTTACATTAAAATCCTTTATGCTTTCCAGCTACACATAGTAGGCATTTAATATAAGCTAAATCATAAACTCACAAGCTCGTGAATGCTTGGACCTCATCCATTTGTGGATTCAAAGCCACATTAGAGACATTGTAGGCGTTGGAGATGCTACGATTCTCTGATAAAACAATATGCAAACTATTAGTAATTGAATTGAACACTAATAAAATTCTATCAAACTCATACTCCTTTGGTTGCCTTACACCTATACAAAGGACTATGTATTTACCTTTCCATATTTTTATCTTTCCAAATCGCAAAACACACACAATGGACTGCTCATTACGCAATTGAATTGCATTAGAAACATCCTAAGCAAACTTTCCCCATAAGACCATTGGGAGGCGTTCATCTCTGTTTATTCCATAAAAAGAAACAAAAGCAATTTATAAACAGAGTATACATTACACAATAAAATAACACAAATTTACAAAAAAAAAACTTACTCCTCATTGCGTAGTTCAACAGATATCTTCTGTGTGTCTTTCCCATTGACTGAGACGATTTCCATCTGGCTAACTTCAACAATCTGGCCGATTACATCTATTGAAAAAGACATGTAAAAGTAATCACTAATCAATGCTTGCAATAAACATTGCATCTATATCATTTATCGGGGTTCTGTGATTAAAGAAACCAAACTTACCAACTAAGTAATCATCATCGAGGACACCATTGAGAACGTCACGAAAGTTAACAGGATTCAAACCAGTCAAGTTGTTGGGTAACTCCTCACAAATACGAACACGGGTGGTTTCAAGGAAAACAATCTTTAATGGGTGACTGGTGGTTCTATAAGAACCCCCAGAATTGGTAACCGTGAAATTGATGAGAAC